CCACTAAGAGCTCTATTAGACGATTCTTTCATCATTATTAATCTCACCATTAGTACTCTTTCTATCAGAAAAATTTTGGCACCATTTAGTGATAGTTTTCATTGGCTAGATAAAAAATCAAACTAAGCTCAAGACCAAATACCATCTAATTAGATAGATACATATTTAATCTGACTATATATTTACTTAAACACTATCTACTCAAAAAAATATATATTTAATCTTATTATAAAAAATTTAACCACAATTTATTTTATATGAAATTAATTATATGTCTATATTTTTTAATTAAAAGAAACTCAACATATAAAAATGACTAAGTATAAAATTCTTATCCATCATTTAGCAAAACACACACAAAATTTTTTTAAAAAAATTAATCAAGAGAATGTACCTTAGTCAGAAGAAAAATTAAGCTTCAAGTTGAGATAAAATGTATATAATATTTGCAAGACCGCACATACCACGAACTTCACTAAACAAAAGTGTGGAAGGAGAAAGAAAAATGAAAAAAGCTGGAGAACTTGAGAAGTAATGAGAAGAAAGGTAGATTTGAGTGAGAAATTGCATGCATTATATGCACAATAATGAAAGGGAAAATTACTGTAGAGTCCCAAGCAAGAGATTTTATCACTCTAAGGTCCCTGGAAATGCTAAAATGAATCTGAGGTCCCAAGGGACTTAATTGTGAAAAATTCCAATTGTGCAATTACAAAATTACCCTCATTCATTTGAAAGAAAATGCTAAAGAAAAATATGAGGGTTCTTTCATTCGCACAGCTCCGTCGCATCTCGCCTCTCTTCCTATCGCGTCTCGCCTCTTTGACTGTGATATTCTGCTCTGCTCCTCGCCTCTCTGACTCCGTCTCTACCTCACACCTATTGCTTCTCATTGTCACTACCAACTTTCTTGTTTTTCGCTTCTCATTCTGTGAAGTATAAAATGATGCTCTGTTTTTCGCTGGTTCATGCTCTGTTTCTGCTGAAAATAAATGAATATGACAGTGTTTTTTTTTGTTATAATCCCTGTAATGCGATGGTTCAATGTGTTGTTAATGGATACATCGAAGGTTGTCAATCTAACTATATGACTTGTCAATGACAAGTGATTGTGACAGTTTGATATGAAGAATGGCAAATTCAAGTGGGAAGCATTTGTTCTGCTATATCCATCCAGGGAGACAATTTATTAATGATGTAGAAGATGAAATGCAATATGTTGGAGATGGTAGCATATATAGCGTTTTGTTTTTTCATTTGACAATATAACGACATCTAAATGTAAAGTTAAGTTAATGTGTATTGATATTATTTAATGGTTACAAAGTTTTTTTAATGCCATTTATGTGTATTGATTAGCATGAAATTCTTCATTAATATCCTTATCATGTCTATAAATGATAAGGGTATTAATACTAAAAAAACGAATGCTAACTATGATAACATGATAGGTACATATCACAATCTTCTCTGTCAAATCTATTGATAACCTCAACAGTGAGTGTTGACAACCATCCAGGAGACAATTTATTAATGGTATAGAAGATGAAATGCAATAGTTGAAGGTGGTGTGAGAACAAGAATGATAAAGAAAGACACATCATATGAAGATTTTAAAACAATGGTAGCATCAATTATCAATTGTTCTGCTTAAATTGTTATGGCAATGATCAAAGGTTGTCATTAACAACCCCATGACTTGTCCTCTTATGCAGGATGAAAGATTTGCTCAGAGATTCAAATGCATTGTCCATGTCTTCATCCAATGTGTTTAGTGAAGACTCACTATCATTGTCATGTGGTTCACAAATGATACCAACCCCAATTTCGAAAATGAATTAAAAAAAGTGGAAGGATTTTGTGAATGTATGTGAAAATATTATTTTGTAAATGTCATTACACACCCCTCAAGTTCTTGATCATTATGTACACATGCAACCGATATGCTTTTTTAAGTGGGTTGTGAATTTGGTGTAGTTAAATTGTATACATATATATAAAGTGATAAATGATATTTGGAAGTAATCTGATATAATATCATATTTCTATTTTGCTGTACTTGTCAATAGATTGCCATAGACTTGTTATCACATGCTGTTGAGGCTGTCATTGACAGTCTGAATTAAGTTACTGGTATAATATGACAATTTCATGTACTTGCAATGTTTCATGATTTCTTAACATATGATTTTAGTGTTAAAGCTGTGATATGATATTATTTACTTATAATTTAATGTTATTTGAAGGTTGTGCTATCCCACAAAGTTAGTTATTAGCAACACTGTCGAGGTTGTTAATAGATTCCCCATGGGTTGTTAACACTTACTGTTGAGGTTGTCAATGAATCTCTATAATAAAATTTTACTGTAATCAATTGGGATCACTTAAAACTGTTAATGACTTGAAAGAGCTTCTCATTTTATTGCTAAAGTTGCTATATATTATAATAGTGCTATTTGGTTAGAGGTTGTGCTATCCCCCAAAGTCAGTTGTTAGCGACACTGCTGAGATTGTCAACAGATTTCTTTTGGGTTGTTAACACTCGCTGTTGAGATTGTCAATGAATTTTTGTAATAAATTCTGCTGTAATCCAATTGGGTTCACTTAAAGTTGTTAATGACTTGAAAGAACTTCTTATTTTATTGTTAAAGTCGTTATATATGATAATAATACTATTTGGTTAGAGGCTGTCCTATCCCACAGAGTCAGTTGTTAGTGACACTGCTAAGGTTGTCAACGACTTCTCCTCAGGTTGTCAACACTTGTTGTTAGGGTTGTCAATGAATTTCTGCAACAAAATTCTGTTATAATCTAATTGGATTCACTTAAAGTTGTTAATAACTTCAAGAACTTTCCATTTTATTGTTAGAGTGGTTATATATGATAATAATACTATTTGATCAGAGGCTATGCTATCCCACAGAGTCAGTTGTTAGTGACACTGCAGAGGTTGTCAACAGATTCTTCTTGGGTTGTGAACACTCGTTATTGAGGTTGTTAATGAATTTCTGCAATAAAATTCTGCTATAATCAAATTGGATTCACTTAAAGCTATTGATGACTTGAAAGAGCTTCCCATTTTATTGTTAAAGTCATTATATATGATAATAATACTATTTGGTTAGAGGCTGTCCTATCCCACAGAGTTAGTTGTTAGTGACACTGCCAAGGTTGTCAACGACTTCTCCTCAGGTTGTCAACACTTGTTGTTAGGGTTGTCAATGAATTTCTGCAACAAAATTCTGTTATAATCTAATTGGATTCACTTAAAGTTGTTAATAACTTCAATAACTTTCCATTTTATTGTTAGAGTGGTTATATATGATAATAATACTATTTGATCAGAGGCTATGCTATCCCACAGAGTCAGTTGTTAGTGACACTGCAGAGGTTGTCAACAGATTCTTCTTGGGTTGTGAACACTCGTTATTGAGGTTGTTAATGAATTTCTGCAATAAAATTCTGCTATAATCAAATTGGATTCACTTAAAGCTATTGATGACTTGAAAGAGCTTCCCATTTTATTGTTAAAGTCATTATATATGATAATAATACTATTTGGTTAGAGGCTGTCCTATCCCATAGAGTCAGTTGTTAGCGACACTGTTGAAGTTGTCAATGACTTCTCCTCAGGTTGTCAACACTCACTGTTGAGGTTGTCAATAGATCTGACAGAGAAGACTGTGATATGTACCTATCATGTCATCATAGTTAGCATTCGTTTTTTTAGTATTAATACCCTTATCATTTATAGACATGATAAGGATATTAATGAAGAATTTCATGCTAATCAATACACATAAATGGCATTAAAAAAACTTTGTAACCATTAAATAATATCAATACACATTAACTTAACTTTACATTTAGATGTCATTATATTGTCAAATGAAAAAACAAAACACTATATATGCTACCATCTCCAACATATTGCATTTCATCCTCTACATCATTAATAAATTGTCTCCCTGGATGGATATAGCAGAACAAATGCTTCCCACTTGAACTTGCCATTCTTCATATCAAACTGTCACAATCACTTGTCATTGACAAGTCATATAGTTAGATTGACAACCTTCGATGTATCCATTAACAACACATTGAACCATCGCATTACAGGGATTATAACAAAAAAAAACACTGTCATATTCATTTATTTTCAGCAGAAACAGAGCATGAACCAGCGAAAAACAGAGCATCATTTTATACTTCACAGAATGAGAAGCGAAAAAACAAGAAAGTTGGTAGTGACAATGAGAAGCAATAGGTGTGAGGTAGAGACGGAGTTAGAGAGGCAAGGAGCAGAGCAGAATATCACAGTCAAAGAGGCGAGACGCGATAGGAAGAGAGGCGAGATGCGACGGAGCTGTGCGAATGAAAAAACCCTTATATTTTTCTTCAGCGTTTTCTTTCAAATGAATGAGGGTAATTTTGTAATTGCACAATTGGAATTTTTCACAATTAAGTCCCTTGGGACCTCAGATTCATTTTAGCATTTCCAGGGACCTTAGAGTGATAAAATCTCTTGCTTGGGACTCTACAATAATTTTCCCATAATGAAATGTACACTACACACTCACATGCCAAAAAAAATGCTTTCCAAGCATGAGCTGAGGATACTTCAAATGACTACTCCCTACGCCCCGATACTAATGAGAGTATCTAGGAAAGGAAATTAACCATGTCCATAAGCAGTAGCTTTGCATGTGGTTGAAAGAAAAAAAAAGTATGTAGAGTCTAGTCAAAATAAAAAGAAAGAAGCACGTGAAGTGTATGGTGACAGGTGTAAGTAAAAGATAAATATATTCATTTTTTTTATGTGGGTCTCACTAAACTCGTTCTCAGTTTGAACAAGTTCTGTTGTTTTGTGATGTGAGTCCCACTAAATTAGTTCTCTGTATGAATGAGTTCTGTACAAGTTTAAACTTGATCACGCTCTAGATAATTTTTAGGTATAACATGTTCAAAATAAATAAAGAAAAGGGGGAAAATTGCGAGACTTGGGGCATTCACTCACACTCGGTTACGATTTTCCCTCTTTCAGGCTCACGACTCTCCCCTCTCGCCTTCTCTTCTCCCCTCCTCGGTGTCTCACGCTCACTCGGTCCCGGTGTCGGTGTCTCGCGGCCCAGCCAGTCTCTGTCCAACGGTCCTCTTGCGGTTCGACCTCCGACGGTCCCCTTTGCGGTCACTCAGTCTCACTCTTGTCTCTTGTAAGCTTCAAATCTTCCATTTTCCATTTCATTTCATCTTCGACAGTTCGACTTTTATATGTAGAAGAAAAGCTGGAGTTTCAACTATGAAAGATTTGAGATCAATTTGATTAGTTTAATACTTTTATTGGCTGATTTCAGTGAGTTGTAAGTGAGATTCGTCTTGTTTGAATCTGATTATATGTCTTGCCTTTAAGCTGAAAAAGTTTAGTAGTAATGAGAATATGAGAAAAAATTTTTGTCTTTAAATTTGAACAGGTTCCAAATCTCCTTGCCTTAAACGGATTCCGCATAACCTGCATAAATTCGCCCATTTAAACCAGCCTATTTAACAAGGGCTTAAACGGTCTGTACACGTCTAAACTTAAGAAATTGTTTCCTTGGGAAAAAGTAAGATCCCTGATGAAACCAGAAATATACCATTTAAATCAAGTATTTCAGCTGAACATGGGAGGAAGCTACATGAACTGATAAGAAACCAATGGTGGAATTTAATAAACTAAACTAAAAGAATCATAATAGGACCCACCGAAAAAAGAAAACACTCACTTGGAGAGAAGAAACACAAATATAACATAAGGTAAGATATAAGAGTAGTGGAGCAATAGCAGAACAACCATATGAGCACGACTGATGGCTAATGTTAAGCTCAATTATCAGCAAATCATAGGAATACTAAGAAAATGATCATATTTAATCCTAATTCAATCCCCCCGTATCAAATATCATCATGTATAACCGAGTGTATAGTAAAAGAAAGCAATAAAATAGTCAGGAGGGAAACCAATCTTGAACGAAATTAACTAATTTTTGCATGTTGCACTGGCATCCTTCGATATGCCGGGAATTGCACTGCACCGAGACTGAGACTGAGACAGAACGCCTAGAAGCAAAAGCCCTAGATGCAGCCCCCTTAGCTAACTTGATTTCTTTTGGATGCCAAACTAAAATTTGTTGCGGGTCATTATCACCCTAAATTTTCCCAGATCGCCATTGAGATCCTAAATTGCCATCACTTTTTTTTAGAATTATAATGAGGTTAAAAAAGAAAAAAAGAAAATGACATGGATGACACGTTGACTTGCCAACTCAGCATGTTTGGTCAATTAATGGTTAAACTTAACCTAGATAATGGCCAGAGTGACATTGCTACAATTTGGAAACTTCCAAGGCCACATTGAGCACCCAAAAAAAAAGAAAAAAAAATTCTGGATACCCGGCCGTCCTAATTGAAAACTTTTGAGAAAAATATGTACCTTAACCCAATAATTAATTTTTTGACCTCATTATATATAAACAAAAAAAAAAAAGTGTTGGCAGCTTAGGATTTCAATGGCGATTTGGGAAAATTTGCAATGAGAATGACCTACAAAGAATTTTGGTCTGGCACCCAAAAAAAAATCAAATCAGCTAATGGGGTTGCGTCTAGGGTTTTTGCGTCTAGGCGTTCTGTCTCTATCTCTATGCAGTCCAATTCCCGGCATATCAGAGGACGTTGGAGCAACCTACGACAAGTAGCTGATTTCGTTCAGGGTTGGTTTCTCTTGACTATTTCATTGCTTTCTTTTGCTGTACACATTGGGCTATGCGTGGTGATATCTGATACTTGAGGATTAAATTAGGATTAACTATAATCGCTTTCTTAGTATTCTTGTGATTTGCTAATAATTGAGCTTAACATTAGCTATTTGACGTGTTCATATGGTTGTTATGCTATTGCTCCGCTGTTCTTATATCTTACTCTACTATTTATTGTTATATTTGTGTTTCTTCTCTTCAATTTCCCGTTATGAGTTCTTTTTTTTTTTTTTTGGGGTGAGTCTTATTGTGAGTCTTTAGTTTAACTTATTGAATTCCACCATTCATGCTTCGCTGACATTGCCGGTTGCTTCTCTGTTCATGTGGCTTCCTCGCATCTGCAGCTGAAATACTTGATTTAAATGGTACATTTCTGATTTCTTTGATAATATTAACATCAGGGATCTTACTTCTTCCCAAGGAAACAACTAGATTTTTTATTTTTTATTTTTACATGTTCTTTTGAAATTTGAAGTTGTGGAGTATTTTGAATATTGGGATAATTAATCTCCAGGTCCTTATAGTTTCATCTGATTTTTAATTAGGTCCTTATAAATTTTTTTTTTTTTATCAAATCCTTTTACATTCGTGTGTTTTTAATTAGGTCCTTCTATTTTTCTTCTTTTTATCAAGTCCTTATAGTTTCACTTATTTTTTAATTAGGTGCTTTGTAGTTTTTGAAAAATTATTTATTAACTTTATTCTTTAAAATTAATTTCATTTTTAAATTAATAATTATATAATTGGACAAAATAATTAATATAATCATTTAGTAATTAATAAATAATCAGAATAATAATTATACTTAAATATAAATTATTTCTAATCATATTTTAATTTTAGAAAAATTTATTATTATAATTTGAATTTTATAATTATAAAAATTCGAATTGAAAATAAATAATATATTTGTTTAACTAAAAATTTAAAGGAATATTAACATAAGATTCTTACAATAATTTATTATTTTTAAAATGTTATTATTTGTAAAATAAAGAATAAAAACTACAAGGATCTAATTAAAAACAAAGTAAAACAATAAGGACCTGATAAAAAGAAAAAAAATTATAAGGACTTGATTAAAAATATATGAAAGTATAAGGACCTGATAAAAAAAAAATTATAGGGATCTGATTAAAAACCAGTTGAAACTATAAGGACTTATATATGAATTATCCCTAATTTGAATTTTATCATTATAAAAATTCAAATTGAAAATAAATAATATATTTGTTTAACTAAAAATTTAAAGGAATATTAACATGAGATTGTTACAATAATTTATTATTTTTAAAATGTTATTATTTGTAAAATAAAGAATAAAAACTACAAAGATCTAATTAAAAACAAAGTAAAATAATAAGGACCTGATAAAAAGAAAAAAAATTATAAGGATTTGATTAAAAATATATGAAAGTATAAAGACCTGATAAAAAGAAAAAAATTTATAAAGACCTAATTAAAAACCAGTTGAAACTATAATTTTTTTTTTTGACCAAGAAGTTGAAACTATAATTACTTACATATGAATTATCCCTATAATATATATAAATTGCCAAACTTTGCAAAGTGTGTTACATACTCAAGTCGTGTTATATACTCATCATCAATACATTGCAGGTTGAGCCAAACCCAATCTAAAACCCTTTTTGTGGTCTTCTTGGTGAAGTTGATATCGCATAGTTTTCTTACAGTCCAGCTCCAACCTCTCTGAATTCGACTATGGCAACCTCTGCAAGTGTATCTCAGAACCTTAGCCACACTTTTTCTCCCAAACTCTCATTTTCCCTTTCACCTTCGTCAGGTCGTCAGGTCATTAGATTACCCACTTCTTCGATTGTAGCAAAGCCCCTTACCAGCCACACCCAAGGGCCTGTTCCCCACACAGCTTCGTTCCTCTCACGTGTGAGTGCTTCTCCTGCCCCTAGCCCTTCCCCTACTGCCAATTCCACGACCTTTCATGGCCTCTGCTATGTTGTCGGTGACAATATTGATACTGACCAGATAATTCCTGCTGAGTATTTAACCCTAGTCCCTTCTAAACCTGATGAGTATGAACAGCTTGGATCATATGCTCTTATTGGCCTTCCCGCATCTTACACCACTCGATTTATAGAGCCCAACCAGATGAAAACCAAGTATTCAATTGTCATTGCTGGATCCAACTTTGGTTGTGGCTCGTCTCGCGAGCATGCTCCGGTGGCACTGGGTGCTTCTGGTGTAGCTGCTGTGGTGGCTGAGTCTTATGCACGAATATTTTTTAGAAATTCAGTGGCCACAGGGGAAGTTTACCCATTGGAGTCGGAGGTGAGAATATGTGAGGAGTGTAAAACAGGAGATGTGGTTACAGTAGAGCTCGGTGAGAGCCGATTGATCAATCATTCGACTGGAAAGGAGTACAAGTTGAAGCCCATTGGCGATGCTGGACCTGTCATCGAGGCTGGTGGGATTTTTGCATATGCAAGACAGACTGGGATGATTCCCTCTCATTCAGCTTGAAGTGGTGGTATTGGGTTCGTCTAAATTTTATCTAGTTTTTCTACTGTGGAAATGATGGGAAAAAAAATTAATGGGCTGATTTTGGATGTTTGTTTGCATTTGTGATTGTTTCTAGCAATGGTGCCGGCTCTTTACTTGGATGATTTTATGACGCTTCAGTGACTTACATAAGCCATATGAATTGTGAAACTCGAAAGATATCAAAATTAGGCCATGTTTTTGTGCTGATGAATTTCTTAAAATTTCTTCATGTGCCAAAAGAGAACAAAGTTTTATACTGTTCCTCCATGTCTTTTATGTAGGAAATAATTATGATTTTGTGCTTGAAATTATGAAGACTATACTGAGGAAGCATGATGGAAAAGATTGTTCGCAAGATAGGCTTTCAACATTTTATAGATCTCATTTTTCTATTCACTTCAAGAATCTATATCTATAAATTACTGGTTCCGTGTGTCATGTGCTGGCAGCTATTAGCTTTCTCCCGGGACGGAGAGAGTGCGCATTCAACATAAGAAATGAGCTGTGGCAAAGTCTCCCTAAGATTATGTATTTAGAGAACCAAAACACTATGGTTGGAATATCTGTCTGCTGTATTAAACTGAACAAATAACTAGTATTGCCCCAACTCCAAGCTTTTGTTCATGGCTACCCATTTGAATTGATAGTTTTTGTAGGTAGCTGCTTCTGTTAAATTTGCTAACTTCTTCATTGGTGGGCAGGTTTCTACTTTGAAATTGGAACTGTAGAGTTTATCTGCTCATTTAATTGTTGGTGTATCAGGCTGTCTATTCAGAAAACTCTTTTTATCACTTCTATTTGCCTAGACTTTTTTAATCAATTCTTTGTTGTTGAGATTTATATAGGTGATCGTGATAGAGCATTTTTAAGTATGGAAGATATGATTGGTTGTGGCATCTATTAGCTGTAAAGGAGTTTTTACCAATCCATTTGTATGCTTAGTTCAGTTGTCTCAATAGGCCAAGATGAACTGCTGTTATGAATTTAAGTGGTTACTCTCTGCAGGTTCTATTCTTCAATTATTCTGCTCTGCTTTATTTTGATGCTGAGCTAACATTATTGAGCATCTCACTTTTGTGCTGGGGCTTGGAAATTGATTCTCTGAATGGTTATGTGCACTGTAAAGTCATAAAGGTTTTTGTTATGCGTCTGAAACCATTGTGTTGCGTTTGGTATGAGGAAAAGTCCTTTTTAGAAAGGGAATGGAGAAGAAAAGTTAGACTCGTGTGTTTGGTATAAAATGAGAATGAGTAATGGAGAAGGGACTTCCTTGAAGACCCTTTCTCATTCTCATTCACCCTTTGTTCCGAACACATAAGCCTAACTTTTCTTTTCCCATTCCCTTTCTAGAAGGGACTTTTTCATGTACCAAACTTGGCAAGGTATGTGCATGTACTTTGATGCGTGAGTTAGCTTGCTATGTGTTGATCCTGTGATTTTGGAGGTTCCAATGTCCCTTGCTGCTTGGATAGGATACAACAACAACAACAACAAGCCTTATCCCACTAGGTGGGGTCGGCTACATGAATCACACGACGCCATCGTGCTCTGTCAACAACTCAGTCCTTAGATATGTTGTTGACTAGGAGGTCTCGTTTAATGACCTCATTAAGCGTTCTTCTTGGTCTTCCTCTGTTCCTTTTTATGGGACTCCATCTTGTCTGATCCACCCTCCTCACCGGGGCCTCCAATGGCCTTCTCTACACATGTCCAAACTATCTTAAGCGATTTTCAACCATTTTCTCTTGGATAGGTGTCACACCAACTCTTGCTCTAATAGTTTCATTTCGAATCCTATCTTTTCTTGTATGACCACACATCCATCTCAACATCCTCATTTCTGCTACCCCAACTTTGTGCTCTTGTTTTCCATTTATTGCCCAACATTCACTACCATACAACATAGCTGGTCTTATATGGTAGTGAATGTTGGGCATATAGAAGGTGTAAATTTACCTATTATCTAGTTATATCTTCATACGCTGTGTCTTGGTTTGTGCTGAGCATAATAGAAGCTGGCTGATAAACTAACAGATATTACAACTGAGATGAATAGATGATTAGTTCTTGTTCGTTTGCTTGATCGTTCAAGAGTTTCTTATGGATAATGAGAAAGAATGAACTCTTGCTTTATTTAGTCTCTCTCTCTCTCTCTCTCTCTCTCTCACACACACACCCCTCTGTATTTGTAGTTATGCGTGTGAGTAGTTATTTACTTTTCTTTTATGTTTTTTTTTTGGCAGCAATACTTCTAACATGCCGAAGCTCAGCCCTGTGGCCATCCTTCTCCGCCTGCTTTTGAAGTAGGATTCTTGATTTAAGTATTGTCTTCTTTGAGACTTATCTTCATATTATGTTGACAAAATAAATTCGCTTGACTATTCTCTCCAGGTGTTTTTATGGATTTGCCAATAGTACGTTACTGTTTTTAGTTTTTTTTTTCACCCCTCTATTAATTTTGTAGTTTTATATTTTGTAGCCCTTCATTAGTTCATCAAACATGTTTAAATTTAGGAATCAAATAATCTTAAACATGTTTCTTTTGAAGACAGAATCATCGAGGGTTGGAATGAGTTGGGACAAACCAAACGAACTTCATCTAATAAATATGCGTGGGGATTTTCAAGCAACATATTTGCAACGTTGCCATTCAACAATCAATATTTGACTAACTATGAGATTAGATTGATATGCCTTTTTTAAGCCAACGCCGAATATTAGAAAAAGTAATATTACACTGATTTTTTTTTATAAAAATGCTACATTGCTCCATAATTTCGTTTAAAAAACTGATAATCTCTCTGAGAAGAAGTTCAAAGTATCAACATCAAAAGTTAGATGAGAAGTAATAAATAATACTACTAGCACTACTTAATATAAGAGCTACTTAATTAGATTTGAATAAATAAATAAATATTTAGTTATTTGTCATAAATGTGGGTTAATTTTTTTTAAAGCAATATTATTATTTTCTTAAAAGAAAAATGTCATATTGCTCCATGATTTTGTTAAAGAACTGATCATTTCTCAAAAAATAAGTTAAAAGTATCAATATCAAAAGCTAGGCAAGAAGAAATAAACAACACCATTTTCATTACTTAATATAATAGCTACCAAACTAAATTTGGATAGGTTCAAAAAGTTAATTATTTTTAATAAATGAGTTAATTTTTTTAAAGTAATATTATGCTGAATTTTTTAAAAAAAAATTGCTATATTGCCCCATAATTTTGTTAAAGAACTCATTTTCTTAAAAATATTCTTAGGAATTGATAAATATTGTTATGAAATCTGATTTAATAGTTAGTAATTTTAAACTCATTTTTCATCAAATTAATTGTATTTTGCTTCAAAATTTAATCTCTAACTAGTGTTTAGGAACTTTATACTGATTAGACCATTTCGGCCGGATGTGCATATTTGGGATCCATTTTGTTTATTTCTTTTTTAAAATTCTATTCAAACATAACCAGTTATATTACTTGATATTAATATATTTCTTAGAGAACAGATACCAATATCCAAATACAAACGAAGAAAGCAAACTCAAAATCAACAAACAAAACCTGGGAAAATTTAAAAATTAATATTAATATTAATTTATATTAACACTGATATTGAATTCTTTTTGGACATCTTTTGAAAAAAAACTTATTCTAAATTATAAAGGTTTTCCTTTAAAAAATTATCGCGCTTGCAGCTCAAGATCTCAATGGCCGTCTGGGAAAATTTAACAGGGATAACAGCACGCAACGTGTTTTGGTTTGACACCCAAAGGAAATCAGGTCAACTAGCGGGATTCCGTTTCCGTCTAGGGTTTTCGCTTCTCGGTCTCCGTTTCTGTACCGTGCAAATCCCGACATACCAGAGGACGCCGGAGCAACCTGCAACAAGTACTGGATTTCATTTAGGGTTGGTTCTCCTCTCAATTATTTCTTCTCTTTCTTTTGCTATAGGGGCTGCGTCCCTTCGCACCTACTACTGCTGCATCCCAACTCCTGCTGCGGACTTTGTTTTGGGGTCGGCATGCGCCTGCGGTTTTATGCTCGATGATCTTCGCCAGGTGCAGTCAGATTTTGCATCGGCCAAGAAGCTCATACGATCGCTCAAGCTGGTCCCTGGTGTGGATGTCAATATCCTGTGCTGTGAGAATTTTTGGGTCGAACCCAAGAAGCTTGTTGGGAGGCCGCTCAAATTCCTCAATTTAGTGGCTTATGAGTCTCGGGTTTCTAGTGAGGTCTCGGGTTTCTTCTTTGTTCAGGTAGCTTCCTTGCATCTTTAGCTGAAATACTTGATCTAAATGGTATGTTTTCTGGTTTCTTTGACAATGTCAACATCCGGGATCTTACTTCTCTCAAGGAAACAAATAGATTTTCACTTTTTCTTTTGAAGTTGTGGAGTATCTTGAATATATATATATGAACTGCCCAACTTTTGAGTATAATCACGTTGAGCAAGCATTTTTAAATTTTATCTTGATATTTTAAATTTATTTAGCAATTATTTTTTTTTTCGCTGGAACCTTCTTTGTAGACATGTTTTCTCGTTCATTAACTAGTCTCATTTCACTAAAAGTTGGTCACTATCTGCAGTCCCTTGCCATGTTTCTCCTATCAAAGTCGCTATTAAAACCGTTTCTGTGGTTTTCCTGGTGAAGTTGCTGTCAAAGGGTGTTATTAAATTTGTTAGATATGGAAGATGAGGATATAAACAAACTTCCATCCATGGTTGATTCTGTTTCTGAAAGTGAAAAGAGCAAAAGCCAATCTGGGTATAGTAGCATTGATTCTCAACCTAACAATTCTGAGCATAAAGAAGACATGCTGAGTGGGGAAAGTTTGGGAAAAGATTATGTTAACAATCACTCACTGATGGAAACTGAAGATACTGTTAGCCTTCCTGTATTAATTAATACTGGCTGTAAGCACGAGAACAAAGAAAACTTTAGTGATTCAGGCATTCAACCTGGTGATATTTTGGACGAAGACAAAAGGGAAAATGAAAAACTGTGCCAGACTGAGAATTTCATTCAGCCTGACGGTGCCCATTGCCCTACTGAAGCAAAACTTGACGATGATTTAGAAGATGGTCAATCTACCTTGCAGGTGAATTTTGAGTTGACTGAAACTATTATGGTCTCTGGCGAACAGAAATCTTCAAACTCAGGAGCAAATGCTGAGAATGGTAGCCAAGCTCCCAGGGATGGAAGTTCCAACAGAAGCAATAATAGAAGTTGTATCCTTTATTGAATTTAGCATCTAAGGCTTGTTGTTTTGCCTACTTTCTTCAAGCTTATATTACTTAATAGGTTGCAAACTGATCTCTACTGTGTAGAAGTTCCTGCATATATCCAAAGGAGTTAACCTGCGAAGAGGATACAATTTCTCTTTAGCAACCTGGATTCAATTTCTCCTTGAAGAACTTTGGAATTGAAATCCTAAACACACTACATTGGGTGTTATAACAAAAAAAAGAAGATGCGAATTCTGGATGATAAATACTCTTAGTAGGATGGGGGTTTAAAAGATACTATGTGCTATACATGTGCCATAGAGAGGATTCATATGATAAAGGGCAAGATTATAAAATTTCTTTCTTGCAGTAGGAGCCATTCAAAATATTCGTAAATTGTGATTATGTACTTGGTGGACAAGTACAGTTTTTTCTTCCAAGTTTTATTTGTACTAGTATAATGGGTAAATTGGCTTTGAATAATATTGTGTGATGTCTTCTAAATTTTTTTTTTTTTTTATGGCTGAGTTGCAAATCTACTCATAAAATATTCGCAAATGTGCGCCTAGCATCATAAACTTTACTTAGGTGCAAAAATATACACGGAATTTTTCAAATAGAGCAAAAATGGCACCTTTGTTAATTTAACCTGACGTCTGTTACTTTTTGGGGTGAGGCTCATGATGTTTTCCATTTGGAAAAGTAACAGATGTTGTGTTAAATTAACAATGGTGGCGTTTTTGTCCCGTTTGAAGAAGTTTATGTATATTTTTGGACTCACGTAAAGTTTATTGTGCCAAGTATAAATACACGAATACTTCTTAAGTAGATTTACACCTTAACCCATTTTTGTTGCCTAAACTTTTATTAAATTCATTGCTGTATACGTGGTTTTCCTGTCTTAACTGTCTCAAAACTTCATGCATTTGTTCACAATTATACACGTCCGAGTCTGCAACTAAAACATATATGATTTCAAATTGTTGTCCTTTATGACACACAGCTCAAGGGGGTGCTAAAAGAGCTCGCGCCACTTTTGATGAACATCAACCTTCAGTGCATGTTGTCTATAATTCCCTAACAAGGTTAGTGTTAGTGTTATTCTTTTCTTTGAACTATTAAGTAAAATTCTGTAAAACTACAATGGGACACGACTCATGTTTTTGCCAATATAAGCGTGAAACATTGACTAATATACTGTGAATATTTTAATTAGTGGTGAGAAGGATGAACAAAAGGGGAATAATAAGAGAAAAATGTGTATAATGATTTTTCCTGACAAAAATTATCATGATGCATGCTAATTTTTTTGGTCAATATACGCATATGCAAATGCATGCTACTTTTTTTGGTTAGTATACATCTATGCGATGTTGATATTTTGATATTTTGTGTTCTGTCTTCAGAGCTAGTAAACAAAAACTTGAGGGACTGCTACAGCAATGGTCAGAATGGCATGCTCAGCATGTTTCTTTATCCAAGGTATAGATGATTGGTTTTCTCTTTTAAAAGAATAATGGTGCTAAGAAAATTTCTCTTTTAAGTTTGACTTTTTCGCCCCAGCTTTAACTAGGACCGTATCTCATCCTTTGGTCATGCTTGTTTGTCACTATCTTCCATCGATTCCTGATAATGTCTTTTTTTTTTTTTTTAAATCAGAAAATAAATGGTTTTGCTACTAGGTTTAGATTTCTGCTATCTTTATTGAAAACGTCTTGTTAAGTTCTTGCATTGGTTTTTCTTGAAGTTCTCATTTTCTGGAGCTTGTAAATGAAAGTTCTTGAAAAAAATGCTATATTTTGGTCATATATTTTGCTGTTAAGTAATACAGTTCTTCCTATTCATGTTTTCTAAAGAATTATTGGGAGTTTACAATATGTCTCTCTGTTCAGGATCCTAATGAAGTGTTAGAATGTGGTGAGGAGACATTCTTTCCTGCTCTACAGATTGGAATGGAAAAGGCATCTGCAGTGGTGAGTTTCCGAGTCTGTATAGGTAAACTTGGAAATCTGCAGATTGAGAGGTCTCAGTTTTGCTTCTTGAGTTAATTTTGGATTTTTGGTTTCTTTCCTTGTCTTATTCTTAATGGTGTTCCTAGAATAGGCTTTACTGGTCATCTTCAGTTGTAGTTGGCTGTACAGTTGTAGCAGCATGTGCTTGTCATTCCAGTTTGTTTTGACTTCACTAACGCCATACTTCTAGAATTTTCTTATCAAAAGTTTAACATGTCTGCTTATGCTAATGAGCATGAGTTCAGATGATCTGTGTTGTATTATTATAATTATTTTTAAATACTAGGGTAGATAACGGGCACCAGCCATTAGATAGGTTGTTAAGAATTTCTGTTAGTTAGTAGCTTTAGTTGTTTGACAGTTTCATACTTCCACCTAGGCCTATAAATAGATATGGAGGGATATTCTCCTGTGCAGATTTGATTACTCAGGAATAATAGTGCGCTAGCCAGATATGTTCTCTCGTTTTCTCCCTGTTCATCTCTTTTCCCTCTGGTTCTCATTTTCTCATTTCTGCCTCTACTCATTTCTGAACTCTCTTCTATCTTTCCTCTTTTCTTATTCTATCCTATCAATCTGACATATATGAGCGAGCTTGCAGATTAGAGAATTCCCTTGTAGCATCCTGTCGATGAATTACATGTTTTAGAAGTTAGTATCTTTGTGAGCTTTGTTTCAAAAGCTAAAGTTGTTGCTGTCTTGTATATTATAGATCACTGATGTTACTACATCTTTACCTTCAAACGATTGAAAGTCACATTCAATTGTACATACAGTTTACTTTTCAGTAAGCATATAGCATATGACAACCTTTTCATTGGTGGTGGAAACTCTATGCATAGAATCTGTGAAGTGGGCGGCTTCTATCTCCCAGTGACTCCTTGGACCACCCCCGCCCAAAAAAAGAAAGGGGGGGGGGGAAGCACAGGTCTTCTTATGACCTTTCTTTTTGCAAATTTGCCGCCAGTTGGGGTCTTCTGGCCAAAATTTGTGGAATGTCTGTTTTCATCATAGTGATAAATGGCCTGCCTGTTGGCTTTGGGTTGCCCTGCCTAGCTACTTAAAAATTGCTTACTTTCATGGCCAACAATACTGTTAATAAGATATGGAATTCAAATATAAGTTTTGAAGCCTTAATTATGTGTGTCAAATATCAAGTTGTAGCGAGCTACACTATTTATAAGCCATGAAATATGTCTAATAGAATATGAATGTTATAATGGTTGGAATCCTTTTAAGTGCTTATTACTACCATCAAAACTAAGCATTCGTATGATCAATATCCATGAATTAGACTCTGATATTTGATGGCACTGTCTTTTAATGTTGTTTTACCAATTTTTTATTTTTCCCTTTTTATTTTATTTATGAATGATGCCTTTTGCCATGTTCTCTTTGCTTTTCTCTGTTGCATTATGAGGACTCAAGATTCATTGTGGCAGGACTATATATCCTATAAGTTCATTGTTATCAATTTCAGATATATTATTTCCTTCCCTTTTTTTTTTTATTGCAGTCATTTTGGATGGATAACCAGACAACAAAGGAGCAGAATAAGTGTTTCACTCCTGTAGATGGTAATTCTGTGCCTTTGTATGATCGTGGATATGCTTTAGGTTTGACTTCAGCTGGTGGTTCAAGTAATGTTGAGGGGTATTCACTATACTCTTGCTTTTTGTTATTTTAGATTAATTGTGGTGCTGCTCCTTGAAGAGATACTTTTCATCAAAGTTTTCTTTTGTCTGTACTCAACAAAATGGTACAAGTAAAATAAAATTGATGCCTTGAAATTGCTAGGGCATTTAAATGCACATAAACTAACTCCTAAATTTGATTTTCTTGGCCAGGCTCTCCTCAAAGTCTTCCCTTCAACACACATAATCACTCACCTTCCACTAAAGTTATTTGGGTGTGTTGCATAGCATATGTTCATATCCTTTCCTAACTTGGAAGGAACTTGGCTCCAAATCTTTCTAGAGTGTGCTTTTTTTTTTTTTTTGGGGTACTTCTCAAAAGGGTTGTAGGTGTTCCTCTGCTCGCCATAAAAGTACTATACCCCTGTGGATATTTCCTTCCTAACCCTTTGTACGTTATGAATTGGAATGCCTCTAGTGTTTGAGGATAATGCCTTACCAAAAATTTCAAACAATTAACATGGCATGGAAGTAGCAGTATAGTAGTAAGAAAAGTGAGCGCTGAGGTTGGAAATTTGAGGGTTATGGACTCTTCTCTAGATCCCTTCTAAATGGGATTTCCTAGGCCTTTTGTTTTACTTGTACTTCTGATATTTTTCTTTTACTTGTTGCTTATTGTAGAGATTGATCCGTTTCAATTTTCATTACTGTATCTACTGTTAGTTAAGTATTTAGTATAATTTTCTTTTTTTGGGAAAAACAAAATAGATTTCCTTACTTCATCTGATTTTTTTTCCCCAAAAACTAAAGGGGTCCAGAGATCATTGATGATGCTCCCCGGTGTTTCAATTGTGGTGCCTATGATCATTCTTTGAGAGAATGTCGAAGGCCCCGTGACAATGCTGCTGTCAATGTTGCTCGTAAGCAACACAAGTCTAAGAAGAACCAGAATTCTGCTTCTCGGAACCCAACTCGATATTATCAGAATTCTTCTGCTGGAAAATATGATGGTTTGAGGCCAGGTGCTCTTGATGCTGAAACACGTCAACTCTTGGGCTTGGGGGTAAGAGCAATTGATATTCAAAGTGATATTTTGACAGTGGCTATATGTATTATTAATACATTTTGACTGATGTTTTTAGCGCAACCCCATTTTGATCTTTCAAAGATGACCTTGGCATCAGTTGGCTCTCAATGTTTTTTCCCCTAAAAAATCATTTTACTACTTGCAGTTGGCTTGAGGGTTTTAACAATAAGCTGCAATGTTGTCTTTTTGTTTTCTGATTCTCCTTTGTATTTTGGAAGATAAGATGGAAATTCTGTTTATAGCTTGTCTAGTTTTGTTTTTGATGTATGACGGTAGGATGGAAACTTGAGGTTGTGGCAGAATTCTCTAAGTTTCTTTGTGAGATTATAGATTTTTCCCTCCTTCTGTGCAGGAACTTGATCCGCCACCTTGGCTTAACAGAATGCGAGAAATTGGATACCCACCTGGATATTTAGGTGAATTACCACATTGAACAGACTTCCGCTTGCTAGTCTTAGAAGGCTAAATTTGTCTTTCATGGGTTCTTACATAAACCTAATCATCCTGTCTGCAATTTACCTCTTGAACTTGTCGAAGTTATACGCCTAATTAATGTTTTGGGATTTTAGATGTGGATGAGGAGGATCAGCCGTCAGGCATTACCATATATGGTGAAGAAGAAATCAGGGAACAGGAGGATGGGGAAATCACGGAGGCAGATTATTCAAAGTCAAAGAGAAAAATGGCTGTTAAATTTCCAGGAATAAACGCACCCATTCCAGAAAATGCAGATGAAAGGTTGTGGGCTGCTGGACCTTCAAGCTCAGATACTTTCAGAAACCGGCCTCAGCACAGATCATCAAATTATAGTACAGATTATGTCAGCAGGGGAAATTATCGTGAGCGGAGGTCATCTATGGATTTCCGAGATGATGGTCCTCCAGGGGACCCGGGATATGGCTCATCTTCCTATAGTTTTCATCCAAGGTACAGTAAATATGATGATGAGTACAATACAGGAAGCCCTACCTATGGGAGGTCCCAATCAGACAGAAGTTGGAGAAGTCCTCTGCACAATGAAGGATACTCGAACCCTGACTCCTATGGTTCTTTTCACTATGCACACTACTCACACGCAGAGAGGCTTCTTTCTCCTCATGATTATGATTCAGGCAGACCTACTCACCGGACTGAAAGCCTGAATGACAGAGACCCAGATCGTTATCGAATGAAGGATATATCAGAAGGCCGTCACTATCGCAATTGGAGGTAAAAGTGGTATTAATGGTAGTTTGTGAGGGTACATTTTCGTTAAGTTGAAGTTACCTCTAACCCTTGCCAATTAGAAGTAGGGTCTGTACAGTTCTAGAGAAGTTGGCTGGTTTTAGACTTTATCCATTCCTGCTGGCCCTAAATGATAATGTGATGTTTTATTGACCAAACATTTTTGTCATTATGAAGGCTCGAAGCATCCCCCCCCCCCCTTCCTTCTTTGCTCGTCTTTTTTCTTGACAGCTTGCTTATAATCTTGGGCTGTTGCGAGTCCGCGAGTCCGTCACAAATTTGACATTAGAAAGCAATTTAGTGCGTGAAACCAAACACGCTATTAATATTAGTATTTAATACTTTCTTATAGTTCTTGGTGTAAGACATTCAGATATAAAAGGTCGTGATATTTGAAATGTTTGTCGCTTGTCATTTGATATTATGTGATGTTTTGGAATTTGGTTAACTTCAGAAATTTTGTATCTCTCCAGTGTCCGTGTCAAGTAAATGCATTTTAGATGTTGCATCCAACAAGCCAAGTGTGTTTAGCAGGTAAAAGATTTCTTACTTTGTTTTGTTTTCGTGCCACTTTTTTTGGTTTGGGGAGGATATATTTATATGAGATGGTATTTGAAAGAGTTGAATTTCTTCAATTCAATTGTGCATGTTTGCTCTAAAAATTTGATTGTTGATAAAATATAATAATGTTGGGTGAGCTATATAGCCCAATCCATCTAGTAAGATAAGGCTTATGCTGTAATTGTGCGTGCTTACTCCTTTGAAGATGAGGAAATTGTATGTCTGTTTTCAAATGTTTCTGGGAGTGAGTTTATTTTTCATTTCAAGCACATGGAGGGCCAACAAGGTATATTTTACTACGTCTGATCCTAATTACAAGAGTTAGTTAATTAATTTGAAGAGATTAAGGAAAGAAGTTAAGTTAGTTATTTATAATAAATATGCGTTGTCTTTTTTAAAATATCTTTACTAATCAAATATATTAGTTAAAACTACTATTGTTAGAAGAATTATCTTAAAAAAAATGTATAAATATGAGAGACAAAGTGGATTGAGATCTTATGTTTAAGAGTAAAATAAAAATCAAACAAGGTTTTATATTAAGGATTGGAGGTAATACTTTGTTTAATTTTAACATTTTCAGAAACTGAAATAGCATTAGGTGCCTAAGTCCATGTCTTTTTCAGTTTAAATATTTTCATTTTTTGTCATGGAGAATATTTTGATTAGGACTTTTGTTTTGTCCTTCGTATTTTGATCAAGACTTGATAAATATATTATTTAAATAACAATGAGAAATGCGTTTAATTTATTCAATTCTATTTATAAAATCTTTTGCTGTCAACTGTGATCGGTATTTCTGAAAAAAAAAAAATGTTGTCGGGATACCATTTGGAATACTTCAAAAATAATTTTACGTCATATTTTTAATGAAAAAATTATTTCGTAATTAACTATATGTTTTCTCAATTTTGAATTTGATGTCTATACTTCTTTTCTTTTGATTAAACTTATTAATTTTGCTGTCAGTTAGTCTTTATAATTTTGATTGATCGGTGAAATTAGCCCTTGATCAAGGTCTCACGGCTTTAAAAGAACAAAATTAAATTCTTTAATAAAAAGAGAAAAGAATGTAAATATGAAATTAAAAGTTGAGAAAAGTATAGTTATTTGCAATTTTTTGGGGAAAAACATAGTAATGCAATGCTGCAGGATTATAAAGTCATTTTTATGGATATGCGCTGAGGAGGTACCGCTGTATTTCCGCTTCTAATTGGTTTGGTATGTCTTTACAAATCTAATGTGATAATAATTCTCTTCAAAAAAAACTTGAAGGCATTCCCTATTGATAGATCTCTCACTGTGTCTCTCGTGCATAAGGAATCATGTTTTCCTTTCATGGAATTTTGGTTGGCACCGTCAATTAGTCATCTCTTCGTAGGGAAATAGATTTTCCTTTCTACGAAAGGTATAATTACTAGACCAAATTAATTATATTGGAATCTTTCTTGTATGTTCAACTTCAAGCTACCTAAATCTGGAAAACTTCATTTCAATTTGTATGTTATCTTTTATTGTAATATATTAATATTAAAGCTTCCAAGTTTAAAAATATATATATACACTTACATCAAGTATTTTATATTCATTATGTTAAGTTTTCACTTAAAGTGTTGGATACCCATTTTACATGCAAATTTGTCTCAAAAATTCAAAATCGTAGTAATATCACTCTATCATTAAATATATTTACGATCAATATCACTATTTTAATAGCCAGCATTAGTTTTTTTAATAAGAGAGGGCAATATTAGTAGGGTTTTAAACTTTTGGTACGGATTTTCAAAAACAAAAAATTAGGATGCCAAATGTGCACCTTAACTCGGAGCAGGATTATTACATGACATTAAGGTTATAAGCAAAATGAATTCATACATTCCTAGTCCTCCTTATGAAGACAACCAAAATGTTTCATAACATAATATATTTTGTGTAAAATATTGATTTTTTTTTTCCACCTAGCATCCCTAATTATAGATCCTCGTAACTAATTTACTAAACCCTGCTAACTGATGATTTTGATAACTAATGACTTTTATTGAAGGTAATAGTATTTCATAAGAAATAACTAATTTTAACTACCTTCATTGATTCAGATGAAGTTATTATTAACTACTTATAATAAAGATCAGAGGATTTTATTGGTTAGATTATTCATCGATAAAATTATTAACTCAAAAATAATATACAAATAAAGTTAACGGGAAAGATTCTAATATTTGTCCTTAATTTTCCTATCCTTAATCTTCCTATCAATAATGAAATACTCGTTATGCATGTTTTAAGAAAAATTTAATATGCTTGGGAGAAAACAAAACCAATGAGGAAGGATTGGTTTGGTACGAGAGACATGGAGAAGAAGAAAGGGGAGGAAAAATTTTAGTAAGCTTGATTAAAAAAATTAAAAAAAATAAGGTTGAAAGCTTTTAATTAATTTTTATTCTTTTATATTACTTCTTCTCTTTATTAAAATCTTAAAACCTTATTTTGTAATTTTTTTTAAATAGAGTTTATTGAGTACCTAAAAGTTTGATATTTTTCCGTCCAAGAAGAAAAATTGATATTCCCATGGCGACTAGGAAGAAGACAGCTGAGAAGCTATTCTTTCCCTGGAATCTGGATGCTCAACTCAAGCAAGTAATATAAATATATATATATATATATATATATATATATTTATTGGCTCCCTTCTTTTTTACTGTCTTCCCTGCACACATACACGCCGCAGCACATTAGTCGTTGAAAAGAAAAATAGTCACAGTCTCTCACTCTCTCTCTCTCTGTGTCTCTCCGTTGAGGAAGTCGGAAATGGCGTCTCCTCCGGCGGTGAGGTTCCCGATCTTTCTGACGGTGAGACTGATCGGTATTGTGGTTACACTTCTTCTCTTCGTCTGGGCACAGCGTTTCAGAGGAGGCCTCGCTCTCGTTTCCGACAACAAGGATCTTATTTTCAATGTAATTTTACTCTTTTCGCTCTTCACTTCCATCTTTCCAAGTTATTGTAGTCCTTTTTTCCTTTGGAAATCGAATTCATCAATACGTTGACGGAAAATAGTTTTTTCTGGTCTTGAGCGAGTTCCCCCCCCCCCTCTCCTTTGAAGTCTTTTTTGGTGTTCGATTTGCCTGATTGAGCTCGTTCAAGTAGCGACGTTGGTTACGAGTTCATAACTGATAGTCTTTGATCCCATCGTTATTGACACTGTCAACTGAATCTCGGTCCTTGTCTGTTTCTTTATGATTGATCTTATTATGTGCGTCCGTGGAACTTGAAGGAGACGTTTGACTTCGATGGGACCTTTTCACTTTATGATTATTATTTAGTCGCGCTAAGAGGAAAAAGTGCATTTTCTTTGCTTTCAAGAATGTCACAATGGAATGAATAAGCGGGTCCTGAATGCATTACTCTCTTCCACTTAACTTGTCGCGAGATTTTCTGAGAGATTGTGTTACTTTGCTTGAGTAATTAGACTGGAATTCACAAGATCCATAGAAATCTTTATTGTAAAAAACTTCTGCTCTGTTTTTCAGTTTGACTGTAACCTTTTGTGCGCTCTACTGAATATTGTAAGTTAGTTACTTAAACAAGATGCGCGCATTGGCAGTTGATGATTTGATCTTTGGCTTCTTATCATGTCCTCTTTAGGTGCATCCGGTGTTGATGGTGGTTGGACTTATTTTAATCAATGGCGAAGGTAAATGATCTTTCTTTCTTTTCTTTCGAAGGGAAAAAGCGGAGTTTGTTGCCGGCATTAGCATATCAGCATTTTTGTGCAACTGTTTATTGTCGTTCTGGAAATATTATTTGTTCCACAAATTACGAATTTGTTGCCCCCAGAGAATTTTAAATTTTAATTAGATTTAATGACACTGTCTTTGGTAACATGAAACATGAATGGTTAACATAATGGAAAATGCTAGGAGATAAATAGGAAAGAAGAAGGAAAAAATTGAGGGCCCCGAACTCACTGCAAGAATGAAATAGGCACAGCTATTGACTGACAGTTATAGTATTTGATTAGCTCACAATGTTTCATTCTCTGGTTAATTTTTCACACTTTTACTTTTTCACACTTTTACCCCGAAAAAATATATATTTTTTGGCTTTTCAGGCTTGCCAACCTTGCATGTTTTATGGGTACTGCAACCGGATTCTACATCTTAAATTGTGTTTCCTTGTTTGAATTCCCGAATTTTCTTAATAAAATTTGTCAGCTTTCTCTAAACTTTATCCCATTATTGCTTATTCTTCAATCTATGCCAAGTGTCTATATTGCTAGATGGACGTGTATGGTTGTTATTCTGCTTCTTAGACGAAGCTTGACTGATTCACGATCCTTCTTTGCCATAAAACAACTAGTGACCTTTTTTGCATCAATTATCTGACACATTCGAACTAAATTGTGCCATGATATGCAAATGGTCACGCAAGATGTAGCCATATCTTCTGACTATAGTTGTATGGTCATGGTTCATAAGGCTGTAACATGCTAGGATGCTTAAACCTTTTCACCTCACTGCACTGTAAATAACGTGAATACTTGAATCCCATCTGATTAAAAGATTCAACTGTGAAATTTAATCAATTTTATCATGCCTGTCGAGAGATAAGGAGTTCGTTCAACTATAAAATATTTTCTTGATGATGTATAATGTCTTCCAACACATTATGGTCTTCCAATCACTTGACTTGAGATGTATTGTGATATTGTATTTAGTGATAGAAATTGGCTGCTGGAAAGGTGAGTCATCAGTCTTTGACCCCGCCCAGAATATTAAAAAAATTTAGTAGGACCTTATATAATTTGCAATATCTATTGCCTCTAAACTATGGTCACGGACAAATAACAGAAGATCTGAATGGCATGACATGAGAACATGCAACTTTAAAGTCTCAATGGTTAGATTGTTTTGTTTTCACTTATGCTGTATGATTAGGGGAAAAATTATAAGCAGTTCGTACACTTTTAAACCAGAAGTAACAAAACTAGATTTGGGTGAATTGTTGTTTATTGTTCTAGTGATTTGACTTCTTCATTTTAGACTTACAGGCAACTTGTTTTCTTATGATAACCTGATCATATGTTTGTAGAGCGTGTCAGTGTATTAGCGCTATGTTGTGTCCATGAAAAACATTTCTTATCTTGATTCCAGAGTAACTTTGACATTCAAAGGTCTAGAACTAGTTTGGTCTTCCCCAAACTTGATAAGTACTTCATTTCCTCCAAAAGAAAATGTACCAGACTAAAAGAGAGAGTTGTATAGTATTCGTCTATCCGATATGGGTCTGGCACTTGTATTTAGACAGGGTGACAATTTAATTTGCATCTTTATTCTGTTATGTTTCATATTTGTATACGACATCTGTGCTTCTTAACTTGCTTTGGTCCTTCTGGTATGATCATAATTGACCACACTGTCAGCTAGCCAGTTAACTGTTTTCTACCTAAATTCCAGGCATAGATTTCATCACTCACTCATTCTTAGATTGTTTCCGAGTCATTGTTCCTGCCCAATAACTTTTTTTTTTTTTTTAATATTTATGGCATGGTGCAGGGATGCTTGCATATAAAACGATATCAGGAACAAAAAGCTTCAAGAAAGTAGTTCATCTCACTTTACAATTTCTTTCTTTCATTTTAAGCTTGATTGGTCTCTGGGCTGCTTGGAAGTTTCACAATGATAAGGGCATCGAGAATTTCTACAGCCTGCATTCATGGTTGGGTCTAGCTTGCCTTCTCCTATTCTTCATTCAGGTGCCTTCATTTTATTCTGATAATCTCCACTACTTCCTTTGCTCTAGCATAGAACTCTGATTCGGTTATGGTATTCGTCCAACTTCTTACTGTAACTTTTTGCAGTGGGCTGCTGGGTTTGTTACTTTCTGGTACCCAGGAGGGTCAAGAAATAGCAGAGCCACCCTGTTGCCATGGCATGTCTTCTTTGGAATCTATATATATGCCCTCGCTATCGCTACAGCTACTACTGGTATTTTAGAGAAGGCTACATTCCTCCAAACAAACAAGGTAATATCACGTTATTCCAGTGAAGCAATGTTGGTCAATTCCTTGGGCATTTTGATTGTCGCTTTGGGTGGCTTTGTTGTTCTTGGAACCGTTGCGCCATCTAATGAAAAAGCTAATACCTCATGAGGAAAGGAATGACCAAACTGCTTTATCAACTCACTGTTGTGTAAGATTACCATTTGTATGTAGTTTCTACCCCGCAGCTCACATAATGTATCAATTGAATTTATTTATATATACACAAGTTTGTGGTTCTGTTTGTTTTTTTCAAGCAAATAAATAAACTCAAGTGCCAGCAAGTTTGACTATGCAAGATTTGTTTTCCTTCTCTCTCTCTCTCTCTCTCTCTATATATATATATATATATATCGATTTGTTTACCACTTGTTTGATTGGTTTGTAAGTTTCTGTGAATAGTGCATGCTGTTAGCTCCCATATGTTACACAAATAACTTGCTGAAATCCGAATTGGCTTTGAGCTTTTCTAGTAGAGGAAAAATATAACGTCTTCCAAGATGTCTAGAACTACTAATAGACACTGCCTGTGTTTTCAAATCAGGAGTACATGAATTCTGGTTTCAAATTGTGAAATGACTAAATTGCCAATTAATCATAGGGTGTATATAAGATTCTTGAAAAGTCATTACTCACTGTTGTGTAAGTTGCTGCTAGGGAAACATGCAGGTGTTAACAAGCGAATTTGTTTTCAGACCGACGTCCATTAGCGGTTTTTTTTTTTTTTTTTAAATTTGCCTTTGAACCTCCGTTAGCGAATTTGATGTTCATAGTTTATTTACAGTTTCAGAGATTAACTTGATGAAATTTTTATATAAAAACTCAAGTAGTTTGGCCCATTTTCAATCAAGGCGTATCATATAATATCTTTATAATTATTTGAATCATCATCTAATTAGGTTGATATTCTACATCTAAAGTTTAAGGGTACAGTATTATTGTTAAAATGATTATCTTATCATTAACTATATCTTACTTTCTATATATGAATATCAGGCACATTCCTTAAACTTTCTTAAGTGTGAAGTGGCCAGTTCATGATCATAAATTATGACCGAAACAAATTTGACAGCATTTCAACCTCAGCTGAAATTTTAAACTATTAATTAACGGCGATGGTTAAATTGGTAATATATATTTAAAAAAATATATCAAAATTATAGCAAAAAACAATTTTAAGGTCCTGATTACACATCAAAAAATACACTTCAGAGTGTCAAGTGTTTGCACCTATATTCTGGGCGCTTCTTAACTCTTTAATTATAAGTTCATGTTTTGCCCGAGACCTAATGCCTACATAACATAAGTATAAAATTTAGAATAGATATCCAGATAATGAGGTGATAATAAACAATCACGATATTTATTACGATAATAATATTAATTACCAAGGACATTTTCACATTTATAATTTTTTTATTTCATTCATTATATAGTTTATTTCATTGTTCACACCAAATGACCCATAAGATAATCATGCCATAACACAGCAAACCCCAAACACTAAATGACATACATTAAACCACTCAAGTGCTTTAAAACTACATAACAAAGGAATAAAGATTAAACTGTGATGCAACCAAAAAATAATTACCAGAGAAAAGGGCCAAGATCAACTAGAGACCTTTTTTTTTTTTTTTGGGCCAGGAGTGACTATAGACTTTAACATAACGCAAAATTGTGACTGAAATAGCATCCAAAATTTGAATGCATGGGATAAACAATGCCCGGAGAGGCGAAAATTCGCACTCTTCCCTGAGGCAGACCAATATGGACGAGAGTAAAAAATTTCACATGATCAAAATGGGCCATTACACATTATTCCCATTTCCCAGATGGAAAAAGGCAATACTATTAAAAAAAAAAAATTGCTTAACAACAAACTCCTCCAATCTTATTTTTATCCGGCTGCTAAATTGAGATTCGACACGTAGACAAAATTGATATAATCCACATTTCATCATTTATATCCATAATTGTTCTCTCCTATATTCTCGTACAATTACTGGTACACTTGTGGGTGGGACCTGCAAAAAATGAATAAGCCGTCATATTTGCATCAAAGATATGAAACAACCGCCCTTGAGAAGTATTTGTGTGTGTCTGTGTGTGAGAGAGAGAGAGAGAAGAAAGATTGAAGTTTATAAATGCAATTGAATTTGCCATCAGGATTTGCATCTACTTTGCGTAGAAATGGATTATTTCTAGCCCTGCCCTCTTTTAATTAATGTTTCTCTCTCACATTTGCAAGTTCCTTTTATTTAAAACGATAATGAAGATAATTTAAATGCTTAACTTGGTTGTTTCGTTCTATTTTAATGGTTGCATTCTTCAATATCCAAACTCCATGCTGCTCTTTTTAAATTTGACATTTCTCCCAAAAAATGAATGAGATAAATTATATGCATTAAATCCATCTATACAGGTTTTGGCCAACAAAACAAATTCATCTATAAAGGGGCCAGAATCAGGAGTGGTTTGGGCATCTATCTTCAACAGCAAATGTGCGCGTGTGCGTATTGTGTTCTTTGAAAGCCCAGCACTTACCATGCCATAATCGGTGACAATCATTGAAACATAATCTGAAGGCGTGGCATCATAACTGAGAAAAATTAAGAAATGCAGGGTCAGAGTAGGAAAACGACAATTTTAAATGTGATGTATTATACTTACGTTAAATTCTTACATGAGATTTAGAAGTTGCAGATTATCTTTGTTGGCCCAACCATCCAAGTGGTTGACATCCTCTCTACCCTGAACCTTTGAAACGACATCTGGATCGCCTGCAATAACGTTTATAGATATGTCAAACTTTCCCACACGCAAGGGAAAATACATCCCAATGAAGAGTTTTAAATAGACATACCAAGTTCATTTGAGCATATTGAATCAAGCTGTACCCTTTCATGAAATTTATAAGCCTCACAACACACCAAGACCGGTACACGGAATGCATGGGCAACCATTGCAACACATGCAGTACCAACTCTAGAGTAAACTGTACCGTTAGATAATACTGATGAAGCACCCAGAAATACTCGAGTAACTTCATGCATTATGTAGGAAACAGCATTTATATGTGTGTAAGTGCAGCTAAGACCTTTAGCCACCAGCCTCCTAAGTAAAAGTTGCCCACTAAGCTTTGGACGAGAGTCAACTATTACAACACGAAACTGTTTTCCTAGTTCATGAGCATTTAACAGTATCATCTCAACTGCCGATGATGACCCATAAGTAAGGAGGACATCGCCATCTCTTATTTTCGTGACAGCATGCTTGGTTATTACCTTATTGGCAAGGATAATCTTCTCACTTATAAAACGATCAATATCTGACTCAAGAGAAGCTTTGGCTTCTGCCTCTGACAGAGTCAAAGGCAGCTTAGCAATCCGACTCTTAAGAAATCTAATTGCATTTCCCATGCTGATTGAAAGAGGCCGACACTCAATCAGAAATGAAACATAACTACTAATTTTGGCTGTAAGGTCTCTCGCCAGAGCTTTCTCGGGGGGAACTCTGTAGTCTTTGATGACTTCTTGAAATGCTTGAAGCATTGCAATACATCGCGCATTGCCACCAGATATATCACCAGACAGATACTGCAATCCCACCTGATATCCACCACACAAGGTTACTGATGTATCGGTATCAAGGCCTAATACACAAAATATAATTAAACAGATCCTAAACGCCATCATATCCAATAAAATCTGCAAGTAATTCTAATCATACTTACATTGAGTATTTTAACATCTATTATGGCTGAGCAAAGATAATTTTGCTACATCGTTTTGAAGTTTAAGCCAACAGAACAAATTCAACAAACATTCAGAAATAACCACTCAGTTTTGTTAATGACATTCCACGTACCTACCCCAATAATTCAACAGCTACTAGAAGACATCCTACTTTCTTCTCTCAATGATGATACGACCCAGAGAATTGATAATTGCCTCAAACACGTCAAGAGTTTTATCAATCTATTTCAGCATGTTTGCTTTAATAGAAAAGGTTGCTACAGAAACAGAAAGGTAATGAATTAGGGCTTTTCCAGAGTCTGATACGGTGGGTAGCTAAGATGATTTCATCATTAAGTTGATGGGACGCTCCTGTAGATGCAGACTACGGAATGGATGGAAATTCTCAAAAATATCCTAATGTCCCAACAAAAATAAGCTCACCATTTTGCGGGATATTTCGGCCTTTTAAATTTATCTCCATTCTTTTCTTATGTCTATCATGCCAAATATTATTTGGAGAAATATCTCCTTTCCTCTGCATGCATACTTAACATATTTTCAAATATAAACTTTAGTTCAACTTTACTTTTTAATTAAACACATTCAACAAACTTGAATTGGAGAAAAAGGGTGTTTAACTTAATAAATGGTATTCTAATAAATAAATAAAATCAGACAAAAGTCAAGAGAAACTTTTTATTTCAAGAGAGATCTTTGAAAATAAAAGGAAAATCTATATGATAGAATAACTAACATATATTATTTCATAATTGGTCTATATTTCACTTCTGGATATCTAGACACCTAGGCCTCGATTGCACCCCTTGCATCGCACAAAACAAGAAAAGCGATATGCTTATATCTTCATAATAATTACTTAATAATATATGCCTTTTCTATTATTTTCTTACTAAGGAATACTGGGGATAATTCCTGTCTATAAAATCATTTTTTACCATCCAACCTTTCTTTTTCACTACATTTCATTCTACATACAAAACAGCCTAAGATAAAGGCAACACTGCATACCATCCCTGGTATAATCCATGAGATCTAAATATGACCTTTATTATAAACCATTAAGCATAATAAATACTAAGCACTATTATTATGCAGCATATAGAGCATTCCATTGTCAAGCATCATGTACCTCATTTAGAGACAGAGAAAATTATTTGAATCTGGCAAAGACTATTTTCAGGGTAATTTTAAGAGCAATCATCTTAATACTAACATTTTTGTTAACAGAAAAAGAATTCATTAATCCCATTTTAAGTTAAGTGTGAACCAAAAAAATTAACTCTACTTCTAGAAGAGCATACATCATATGCTAGAAAGAGCACAAGAGAACCTGTAGACACCCTCATTTTCTACAACTAAACAAAAACAAAGGCAATGAAAAAGAATCTTCACCACAAACGAGTCAAACACTATACAATTGTAAACTTCAGGACCACATAACAAATATAAATTGCAACAAGCGACATAAAATTAAATAGATACCTTATAGACAGCAGGATGCATGGGATCAAGTTGAAAAAACTTTGCCACGAGATTTGGCAACTGACTCCCATGTTCATATTGAGGCAAATGCCTGAACAATTCAACTCTGTTCCTAGCTTCAGTTTGTTTCACCACAGCACGACGTTTAGCTTTCTCCACTCGACTCTTATCATCATACTGCATGCGTGGTTGAGGAACATCCTTCTTTCTATCTTTTTCTGATGGGCGATCAGATCCTTTTTTCTCCGCGCCAGCAACTGAAGCATTATCAACCTTTTGAGAAGGCTTTGCAGCTTTAGCAGGTTTTGCATTTGCTGCTGCTCCAGACGCCTTGCTTCCTTCAGCTAATATCAATTAGCATAACAATTGTTAGGGTAAGGGTGGATCACTTAGAAAAGAATCCTCATGCTAGAACATTTAACTTCCAAATTTAAGCTAGCCAAAACCATTACAAAGTACAAAAATTGATGCATGGCAGATTTGAGTCTAAAGATGAAAACAGGTCAGCAGCAGACAGAACTGAACGATTATCATGCCCACAGAGAATATATTAAATTAACAAAAAAGAACCTTCAAATAAATGGCTGCTGCTCAGATTGACCACCTGAAAAAAAAAACCCAATTGAACAGGAAATCAAGACTATGCTGACAAACCTTTAGCAGCAGCCTTTGCAGCTCGTTGAGCTTCTTGAAGAGCACGTCTTTCAGCTTTTGAGAGTTTTTCCTTCTGCTGTTTTGAACTTGAAGGCTGCTCTTTTGCATCTACTGTCAATCCTCCTCCTTTGTCTGCTTTATCTTTCTCTAATAGGAATTGAGAAAGAGGATAGGAAAAAGGTTAAAAATTAAAAATGCTTCAATTCCTAAATCACGCTTAAATTTCTGGATGTGCAGGACTCCAGCAAAAGGTTGATACATGGAGGAAAAAAGATATTATTTGTGTAATGTCATTTCATGCGTTTAAAACAAGCAAATCAGACCAATTCAACAACTATTGGTAAAATGATCCAACAATAAAAGCAGTATTTAAGTCAGCACCATCGTTCTCCCTGTCCGTTCACAAACTGCATCACATTAGTCAATGTAACAAAGGTAATAGACTCCTTTCTTTTCCTATACTCATCAAATGACTTATTTACTAATCAGATCATATGACCATGCAGATCAATTCAGACTATTCAGGGGTATTATTTTTTCTCTGTGTTGTAAAGACCATAATTTCGCACTAGCCTCCTCTCTAAGAAAAGAGCTTCTCACAAGGAGACATGCGAGTGATTGCAGTTTCAAACTTCAAACTACTCAGAATAAAGTTCAAACTGACTACTTGGACAACGCTGTCAATCCATACAAGAGATAGCGCATCTATTTAGAGTCCACAAAGATAAAGATACAAGTAAGAACCGTAAACCCACCCGCAATTACAGGAGGGTCGTTCACAACCGAGACTGTGGTCAATTGACTAGCCGGCACACTATTAGCCTTCATTGCTGTCATGTCAAAACCTCCACGAGGAAACGAAGAAGCCACTTTTCCAGCATTGCCCCTAACTCCACGACCCGGCGATGCAATCCCATCAAACAAATCTCCTTCACCGACCACCTTGTTCGAGTAAGAGGAAGGGGATGGAGACATGGGAGCGGGGAAGAAGTCGGATGAAGAGTTGTAGCTGCCAGCAGTAATGGAGTCTCCCCGGAGAGGAGAAGCCGCCGGACGGGTGTGCAGAAGCATATTGTCAGACGCATGACGTGGCGGCGGGATCATCACCGGCGAGAGGGAATTGCCAGTGGGAGGAACATCAGAAACCGGAGGAGAAGATGATTTGGGAAAATCTGGGTCGGGCGGACTCGAGTGAGAGCGTTCGGGTGGAGCTCCGGGAGCAAAGAACCCTACTTGGCGGACCTTGGGGTCAATCACCGCGCGAGGAGCTCGGCGAGAGTCCATGGATGACGTAGGAGCTTAGGGTTGAAGGTGAAGTAAGAGGTACAGCTAATGTTATAGGGATTGGGATTGGTGCATGGAGAGTGTTTGGAAGGGAGGAAAATTTGAAGAAGAAAACGGGATTTTTTAAATTTTCTCTGGAAAATCTGAGGGAAAAGGGTTTTGAGGATTGAGATGGAGGGGTTGGGATGGATTCGCTGCGCCGTGTTCAATACGAATGGGGAGCGAAAGCGGAAAGAGAGGAAAAGCAGTCACAGACTGGGCTGCGCAAGCCGCAGCCATAAGAAAATCATTAATTAATTAACTAAGGACTTGTTTGGCATCAGGGTAACCACTTTCAAAGCAGCTTGTCAACCGTGATTGATTAAATACGAATAAAACATAAAAATACTTATGAACACCTAAGATAAGCAGACTCCAAACAAGCCATAAGGATTAAGGTTCATAAAGAATATAGCCTCTTGAAATATTTTCACGGTTCATCCAACATAAATACATCTAGTATCATAAAATATTTTAGTGTTTAATTTTGTCCTTAAAATATTTTTAGGTGAAATTTTAATCTCACTATTAGCTCCCAAAAAGTCTGTTAAGCGAAGGCACTTATCTTCCACATTTTCAATACTAAAAATAATTAAAGATAAGAGTGGAGAATAGAAAAAAAATGACAATAAAATGATATTTAAATTTTTCATACTCCAAATAGTCACCTCAATAAAAAAAAATCCATTTGCATCACACATGACTAAATAAAAATTTCAAAATTTGCTAAAATAATCACATTGCCCTTATATCATCTGTGTTTATTAAATAAAAAATATTTTGAAAACAAGTTATTAATTGCATTATTAAATTTGTTAATACCGTTATATCACTTGCTAATCATGTTAGAAGTTGAAAATTTTTTTAATTTATTAGATATTTAGAAATATCTCAAAATCAAAATACCTTTAAGATCATGTAATGAATAATGTTATTAAAATTGTTAATTTCGTTAAAAGAATTGTTAAGTATGTTACTAGAGTTAAAAAAAATTTCACTTTCACATTTCTCTAATAAATAGGTTGTTAATTACGTTACCAAACTTCTTTGTAGCATTACCTGACTTGTCAATCACATTACAGAAGTTAAAAAATTTCCAATTTATCATGTACTCACCAATCTCTAAAAAACTTTATGACATGCAAATAAAGGACAAATAATCATGTATACGTTTAATTATATCATTTATGTCTATTATTAAAACACATTTTGTCACAACTTACACAAAGCAAGTTATATCAAACTTCAATATCACGGTTAACAATTTTGTCATAGTATTAACAATTCTAATAACGTCATTTATCAATTATTCTGGGAGGTATTTTGACTTTGAAAGATTTTTTAATACCTAATAAATTAAGAATTTTTCAATCTATGTAACATAGTTTACAAGTCATGTAATAATATCGATAAGTTTGATAATGCAATTAGTAACTTGTTTTTTAGTAAATTATGAAAGTGGGATTTTTTTTTTTAACTTAGTAACATGGTTAACAATTCTTGAAATAATATTAACAACTCTAATAATACTATTCACTATATGATCTAAAATGTATTTTGGCTTTGAAAATTTTTTTAGTGCCTAATAAATTTGGAAAATTTTCAACCACTATAATATAGTTGACAAGTGATATAATAGTATTAACAAGGTGGCTAATGCAATTAACAGTCAGTTTTCAAAAAAAATTTTATAGAATAAGCACAAATAACATGAAAGTAACGTGGTTATTCCAGCAGATTTCAAAATTTTTATTTAGTCATATGAGGCTAAAATGGAATTTTTTTTAATTGATGTGACTATTTAAAGTTTTCAAAATTAAATTATAACCTTATTGTTATTTTCCCTGAAAAAGATGGAAGATGAGTCTAAAACATACATGACTACCGAAAAAATTGTAAAATTGATTATTAAAGTGTTAAGAATGAGTACTAAATATATGAAAAATAAGTACTCAAAATATAAAAAAAGGAGTGATGAAAAATTAACTCAAAAAATTCTTAAAAAAAAATTGCATCACAAAATATTTTAAAATAATGATCGCACTTGAAAGAACACCTCAAAATGTGAATAAATCACAAAATACTTTATCATACTAAGCTCACCTTGATTCATGCAACCTTAGCCCATTAATTAATTAAATTGATTAAATTTACTTTGACTTTAGTATCAATGGAAAAATAAATTAGTAATATTATTATGGCCAATAAATTAATGATATTATTATGGCCAATAAAAACTGAATATGTAACCGAAAACCGAAATAACTGAACTAAAAAACCAAAATTGAATTCGGTTCGGTTTGGTTTTGCTTACCCTTAATGATATTCCAACTATTGAAAATGCAAATTAGCGTTAATTCAAATGTTAGTGCTAATGCAGGCATCAAGTATCTATATATCCATCTTGATTAAAAAAAAGAAAAAACAAAGAAAGAGTATCGATATATCCGTCAATTTATTTACTCATAAAACTAAATTAACAAGCTGCCTTTTTTTGCTAACAAGTGTGTATTTCATAGAAGGAATGGAATACTGCAAGTTTTTATATTAAAAAAAATAATGCAATTTTAGACAATTATGTCGGGATATTTATCAATTTTTTATAATATTAATTTTTTTATCAAATTTTTAAATTTTATCCAAACTTTTTTTATCGATCTTTGAATATATATATATATATGTGTATGCATAGACAGATAGATAAAATATAGATTAATAATTTGATGCATAATAATCACTAGAATCTTATTATAGCAACTTTTACAATATTAAAATTAGATGGCAAAAAATATTAAAAATTAATTTATTTTTCAAATATTATATTTAATATAATAAAAAAGTCATCGTGAAATTACAAGTATTCAAATAATATATGAGTTAATAAATGTTATGTGTCTTATTTTTATATACTAAAAATCAATGTTTAAAAGTTCAGTCAAGTAATATATTTTAAATTTTTTGAGGGCCAAAAACTGTCTATTCATGATCATATAAATAAGTTATTATTTATCTTATTTAACTAATTTAGAGAGATTAAAAAACTAAATAAATTACTTAATTCTAAAAAAAAATGTAACAAGACATGCCTAAAACTCACTTGTGTAATATTAGATTATATATTAATTTATACAGTAAATAAATTAATTTGAGAAAAAATTATAAATATGAGAGATAAAATAAATTAAGTATTTATATTTACAATAAAATTTAACTCCTAATTAGTTCCTACATTTAGAATTAAAGAAGTATTAGTTTCTTAAAAGGTGGACACTTATAATCTTCAATAATTTTTTTGGCCATAAATAATCTTCAAGATCATAAACCAGTTTTCCTGTCAGTTGTAAATTATGAATTTCGTTAAAGATAGTCCTCCTAATTTTCATTATTCATAAAGTGTCCTTTTCAAAATATTCTTACAGCATGATTGAATTGACGTTATAATTTAAAAAATGAATGAGACACTAATAATAATTTTATAAATTTTAGTATTCAAATATATTTTTCAATTAATACCAGAGATTATTGACCATTATCAATCACTTTCCTTTTCTTCATTTGAAAAACTTGAGTATACTTTGATTGGCCATTTCAACCAAATTTATCTTCGTTTTTATTATATTTTGAAATGAGAATCATGAACAAACTAGACGATAGGATAAGGATCACTTAAGGTCCCGTTTGATAGAAAATATTAAAAATTAGGGATTTGGATTGGAATTGAAATTAAGAAAATCTATTAAAAAAGTGTTTAACATTAGAGATTGCTTATTATATGGGACTAGCCAAATATATGCATGTGCGATTAGAAAATACCATAAGGGAAAGTAGTATATTCGAATCCTTCTTTTGTACTACACTGGATAGATTGTTCTTTGATAACATTTATTCAGTTTCCATTAAGTGACTTTCCTCATAAAGAAAATGTAATATCTCACGAACGGCCATTTACTAAACATATTTACAATTATATTACTTGTACCTGGCAAAAACAAGCTTATATTTCCCATTCATATTGGAAGGGTTTATGACTTTTCACATTAACAAAACCTAAAAATACTTCCTAAATAACAAACAACAATTTTGTTGGGGTTTTGTCGTCCAAATAATGCCAAACACTTCTTTTAAAGTTTTTTAAATGCAAGGTTACGAGTTTGAACTCACGAGGTACGATAGGTGGGTAAATTATTTTTAAAAAAAGAACAAAACAATTTTGTTGCCTTTGTTTTGAGGACGACAAAAGCAATTAGTAACCCCTTAAATTACAAGCAGGAAACCTCCATGGAAGTTAGAAATATCTCATTCTAGTTCATTGGCTGCCAAAAAGTCAATTTTGGAAGTCTATGCATTGCGCCAAAAATATTCTGAAACAGAGGAAGCTGGAGTTTATTGGATAGTGCAAGAAAATCATCTTTTTGGCTACGAACTCTCTCTAATCCTTTTTTTTTTTTCCCATTGTGATTTGATATTTTAGGCTTTTTTTTTTCTCATAGTACTGCCTCCCGTTCTTAATATAAAACCTCGTTTGATTTTTATTTTAGTTCTAAATATAAGATCTTAATCTACTTTGTCTCTCATATTTATTCATTTTTTTTCAAGGTAGTCCTTCTAATAATGGTAATTCCAGCCGATACACTTGATTAGCAAAGATATTTTAGAAAATACAACACATTTATAAAAAATAATTAACTTAAATTATTTTTTTAATTTTTTTAAATTAATTAACTAATTTTTATATTTAGGACTGGAATTAAGTGGCTAAAACTTTCAGTTATGGATAGGCTGTAGTTTAATTAGCGTTGACTTTGGATTTTTGCTTCCCCAGAGCCATATTTCAACAATAGTTAAAATGAGGCCCACTTCTATGTTGGCCCAGTTATAGTGAACGTACACTTATTGGGCTAGGCCTAGCCCAATAACATTTGGTGCGCCCATGTAATGGAAGAGATTATGATTAATAATGAAAAAAAAGTGAGTTTATCTCCTTTATAGATTAATTATTTTTCTAAAAAATACGTTCATCCATATTATTCTTATGATGTGTACAAAAATAAAACCAAAACTCATTAACCATAAGTTATGTTTTGTATGGGTCAATCAAATCAAATCTTCAGTCGGCAAAAAAAAAAAAAAAACAAAGAAAATGCAGTAATTCTATAAAAACTCATTAAAACAAAAATTTAAGATATTAC